CACACACACACACACACCTCTCTCCATTCCACACACTGTCGTGAATGCCCAGACCTGTCTGGCCTTGTAAATCCTATAAGGCAAGTCGATCTCAAACTTTCCTTAACAGGCATGACGTTCCCAATTCCCACCACCGAAGACTCCACTCAGTGGTAGAAGTGTGAATGTGGTTGAAATCTGTCACGGGATCCTATAGGACAGAAACACACCTGTTCTCACACACACACGAACATGGGGTCCATCATGGGAACCTTGTAAATTCAGTGGCTGTTACATCTCAGGTTTTCTTTTTTTTCCTCTCGGAACAGTAAACAATGACTGAAGGGCAGTCAAAGGGACTTGTATTGTTATTGTCTCCATCACTTGTGTGAGAGACAGTCTCACATTCTGTACATACATCAGTTCAAGCTGTCAGTTTAAGAAAATATGTTATGTTTAAGCAAAGAACTGTAGATAAATCTCCAAATACTAAACCTAGCACCACATTAGATGTCCTATAGTGGGAGAAGGGATATAGTTGCTGACCATATATTAGAGGTTCTCGTGGATCAAAAATAACTGCCCAACCTCTACCGTGAAACCATATTACAAATTTGTGTCTGGCTTTGTTGTACAGTATTCTTCATATCTCTCTCGCCTTATTACTCGTCTATCTACATTGACTCTCTAAAAATCTATTTTGTAAACTTTCTCATAATTAGTTATAATTAATATTTTATCTCAGCAAGCCTATATCACTTGATTCTAATGGTGGTGGTGTCGGGTTTTTATTTTCTGCCTTACGAGTAACTGTATGTTCCAGAGTTTAAGCTTTGTCAGTCTGTGAAGTTGAGTTAGTGGGTGAGTTGTGGATCTGGGTCATTAGATGTCTGACACTTTCCACAGGGATTTCTGTGTAATGCAGCGTAGAAATGTGGGCGTGGGTATGTGTGTCCATCAGTCTAGACTGAAGTGCATGGCTGATGGGCTGACTTGGTGACACGCCTCAAAGCACATCGTGAGCAAGCTTCCAAAAAAAAAAGTCAAAAAGTTTCTTTTGTAAAAACTTTCAACTTTGAACTCTTTTAATTTCTTTCTGCAGGTTTAAGCCTTAATTAGTTATGTATTGACATGTGTAATTACTGAGGGAAAAAAACACATATATGTGCATTTTCTATTTTGTTTTTTAGATTAGTGTTCTGCGGTGATAAGGTAATACAGTATGGGGTATATGAAAATTGTAACTGTGTCTTTTTTAATGCCCTTATTAAGAAATCCGTAGTCCATTTGGTAATTGATGTTGCTGGAGAATCAGGGTTAAAGTACACTCAAGCCCCCTTGTCGTGGGACACAGTGTAGATGCAATTGGCGGCAAAAGCCCATGCACTGTGATTGTTAGTCAGCTGGTTATACTGTATACCACAGGGAAATTTGGGGAAGGTTTAATGACCAAATTTTAGAGTTTGCAGCAGTAAAAATACCCTAATTTGTTGAATGCATCACCTACCCATTGCGTTTCAATGGAAGCCATATCGTCCACAGGCATGAATCTATGGCAGGAACATTTTATGTGTTTTTTCAAATCCGGTTAAAACACTTGATAGGAGTTGCACACACATTTTCGTTTCCATGCAATGGTGCACAGGACATTTGGTTTTGTCCAAGTCTTTCTATGAACCAACCTTCCCCACTGCATTATGGAGAGTCGTTGTCCCCCTCATTCTCCAGCCCTTTAAAAGACAGAAGGTCAGATTGCCTCAGGCCCAAACTGTAGCCTGACCCCAGAGGTTATACCACAGCCTACTTGATCCAGGTAGCTTTCTTTTCCCTCTCTCTCTCCATCTTTCTGGATCTCTCAGTCACTGTTTCACTGCCTCTGTCCCCATCTTCCCTTTCTCTCCCCTGACAGAGGAGGAGAGAAAAAAATGGGGAACAGACAGGAGACAACTTCTCATTTAAGAAAAGGAGGGAAGAGAGGAGGGAGAGATAAGAGGTGGGAGAAAGGATAAACATACTTAACAAAGGCAAAAATGTGCTCCCAGGGGCAGTCTGCTGTTCAGCTTTATCTGCCTCTACTCGCAGACAGGCGCAGCATTGCTCAGGTTACAAATACAGGTCAGGTGTGTGCGTCAGTGGGTGAGAACGTGAAAGCACCAGTAATGAGTGGTACAATGTGCACTGTAAAGAGCTGTGTTTGTCAGCATGTGCCAGACCAGCTGTATGGCACAGTGCCGTCTCTGGAGCAAAGCCCAGCCCTAATGTGCAAGCACAGGCCTCTTTGGAGACCACTGGGATGTCGCTTGGCTGCTTCATTGCCCCTCATAGAAATGTTGTTTTGTGTGTGTGTGTACTGGAAAAAGTACCGTGATGCCTGATCTGAGAAAGTGCAGTAGTTTCCAGACTCAATAACTTCTCTCTTATGAAGTGTAGGTTGTCATATTCAATACTGTGAGATACAACACTCGTGAAGATATGACAACACCATAAGGTTTGTGTCAGCAAATATATGTCAAGTGGGTTATTTTACATTTATAATATATAAAGGGGATTTCAGAGGGATTTCACAGCTATGTTAACTTCAAGCCTAATTTCAGTTTTAACCCTTGTCGTATCCAGAGAGTATATGTTTTGTTTTCAGACCCTATTATCTTGTTACAAATACATATTTCTTATTTTTCTGTTTAGTGGTGACCCACAGTCATTCTTCGCTTGCAGTTTTGGTAAATTCTTGTGTAAACAGAGGCAGAAGTAGAGACAGTTGTTTCTTCCTCTGCTCCTCTTATTACACCTAGGGAATAAGTGCTGCCTGGCTGTCACTTCAGTGTTGGTGGCAGTTTGTCACCCATGTCAGATTGATGAAGAGTGTACTTGCACAAGCACATGTGCGCACGCAAACACACACACACAAAATCTCTTATTGACATATTATTACATCATTATTACATCAGCTTCTCCTCGTTAAGTTTAAGTCAGTTGTGAGTTTAAATCCTGAGGAAAAGAGGTTATGTGAGTAATACTGTGCTATACACAGTATTTTTTTTTGGTTTATTTTTGTAATGATGCAGATGTGCATGTCCTCTTATTAATTGTATTGTTGTGCATATTAGAACATGATTTTTAGACCACGACGAATTTTTGGCAAAGGGAAGCCAATTTGGCAGTTTATCGCTACTTGCTCAGTGTTTGAGGATCAAACAAGCGTTGGCAGATCGTTTGGAGTTTTTACTATCAGATCGTATAATAGCAGTAAGACAAATCAGTCCATAAAATTATTATTTATAGACGTGTCTGTTAATGTTTTGAGATCATAAATCTAGTCACAGTGGAGATAACTGTCATTACTGTACTACTGACAAAGCTTATGAGATTTGATTCTCTCGTAAAGGTTAACAAGTGTGTCTTGGACTTTTTTTCTCAATGGTTAACTGAACAAAATCAGCAACACAAATAGCATCAGTTATGGTTTGACATATAGGAGAAATGATATGTGGTGATTGAGATTTCTATTTTATTAGTTTGAAAACATCTTGTACTTTACATCAATGCATTAAACATAATGCTTGAGGTAAAGTAGTTTCCTTATTGCAAACTCAAAAGTCAATTAGCACACTTTAGTTATTTTTCATGATCGATCACCGGGTGAATGTACAGCGTTAAATTCACATCTTCACTGCAGGTTTACTGCT